GGATAACTAGACAGAATGTATGAGAAAGAAAGGCTTGGGGGGCACCTGGGTGGTGAAGTTGGTGAAGTGCCTGCCTTGGCTTAGTTAATAATCCCAGGGTCCTGTGATCGAGCGCGCTGCATCAGGCTCCTTGCTCAGTGGGGAGTCTGCTTCTTTCCTCTGTCCTTCCCCCTGATCTTTCTCTTTCTTTCTCTCTCTCTCAAAAATAAATAAAATATTTTAAAAAGAAAGAAAAAGAAAAGGCATGGTAGGAGCCTCTTTCACCATCATTGCCCACTGCCCTCAGCCATGCTCTCTTATGGTGTGAAAGCCTGCTGCTTAGAGCAGAGGCAAGCAGAGCCCATGCCACTTGGACAGTTTTGTCTTTACATCAGGCTTACAGTAGTTAGGCCAGTAGAGGACTGTGACATTCAGGAAGAGGTGGTTGAAATGCCATTGTTACATTGGAAACATCTTGGCAGCAATGTGCTAGACATGTCTGAGTATAACGTGGATATAATCTGCCAAGGGGCAAGTAAATGGTGCATTTCTTTGGACTTTGCCTTGCAGTAGGCGAATGAAGAGTCTTTTGAACGAAATACTGTGGTCTTCTGTGACACAGCTCACCATACTTTAGAACCAATACCAGAAAATCCGTGGCTGAGGAAAGAGGTGGTCTGTCAAAGCCAACTCTCTGATAATACCTTGCCCAGTACCTCCCCTTGATGGCTTTGGAGCCCAGAAATAGAGAAATCAGAGGTTCTGTTGATATGGTGCCTGAAATTGCACCAGTTCCTGCTGACAGCAGGGCAATCCCCAAGAGAGTTCTAACCTCCCCCTTTCCACAGCTGCCAAAGGCCTGTGGGAGGCCACTGCTGATTTACTCCCTCCTTGCTAGCTGCAGTTCTTGGTACCAGCGCGGTGCTCTCGGCAGTGCTCTTTCCCAGCAAAGAGCCAGCAGCCCTTGCCCAGAAGCTGAGGCTTTCTTGCCTGCTTTGGCTTTCCTGAATGTCTGATTGATGGACCTTAACAACAGAGATAGGGCCAAGTTCACAGTAAATGTGCCTGCCTGAAAACTGTGATGGAGTGATGCCAGAATTGTACCATGGAAGCCCCATGTGAAGGGGGTGATGAGTGTGAGCGCTCAAAAGCCTGCAGGAACCCCACATGCCAGGTTCCAGGAAGAAAGGGCTGTCATGATGAGCTTCTGCGTGTTTTGGCTGCTACTGTAAATGTGTCATTCACTTTGATTTAGCCTCAAATACAAGACAGGTAATTTTGCTTTCAAGACTTTCAGATTAGGAAATCATAAACCATGTTCATGACCCAATGAAAGCAGACCTGGAAGCTTTCTCTTAAAGCATATTAGTACTGGTGACATTTTGCTGATGTTTAGCAGTAAACAAGGCAAAGAGGGATTATGGCTTTTTACTTTTCTGGAACTCTCTTCACTTTTATGCAGCAAAAGATTATTTTCTCAGACCTCTCAAAGTGAATTGTCAGAAAGATTATATAATTTGGGAATAGTGTCAGAGCTATATAGGCTGAGAATGGGAGATGGTGTACAGAGCCTGTGGTGTTGCCCAGCTAAAAGCAGAAATTCTAGATGATTAAGAGCTGATTAGTGAATGAATGCAAATGAAAATTATAGTCCTTAGAATCCCTCAGTTTATTTTATTTTTTTATTTTTATTTTTTTTAGAATCCCTCAGTTTAAAAGTGTTGTGAGCACCCTTTATTTGAGCTACAGAGATCTGATTCTCTCCTAATTGTTTCTGTGATCCAGGTTACATTTATCGAGTGCCTACCGTGTACCCTCAGAGAAAAGTAGTGTAGCTCCTAAGCATCTTCATTAGATTCCCCTCAAAAAAAAAAAAAAAAAAAGATTCCCCTCAAAGCAGAACCTCAGATAAGTCTGTTAGTGTAGGTCATTCATTGGGAAGCCATCCTTGGGAAGTAGGAGTGAGGAGGTAGAGTGAATAAGAGGCGGAGGGAGGAAAAGCCAGTATGAGAGTGTGTTTCCAGGACTGCAAGGCCTCCTTGCCATCAGAACTTTTCATGAGCCTGGCCCCAATGGCATGAACTCCATCACACGGCCAGGCAGGCCAGGTAGTGCTTCTGACTTGTAGGCAGGGTCAGAGCAGGCCCTGCAGGCAGGAAAAGAAAGCCTGGGGGTGCGTGTTCTTGATGGATGTTGTCAGCAGTGACTCTGAGCTTGCTCAGAATTGACCAGTATGGCAGCAGCTAGAATCAGAGTCCTCAAGCATCTGCTATGAGAGGGATTGGTGCTGTACTGGGAGAAGGACTGGGTGCACTAAAAACACCAGCAGAAGGCATCTCATCCAGAGATTGGGACAGCGTCCAAGAAGGAAATGGCCTCTAAGCTAAGACAAGACTAGATGAATGGGAGATGAACTATGTTGGAGCTTAGATTGCAAGGGTAAATATGCTGAGGGAAGATAAGCAAGAATTTTGCAAGGTAAGGAAGATAGTCTTCATTGTAAGAGCAATAAAGGGTCAGGGAAGAGGAGGGGCATCTGGGTGGTTCAGGTGGTTAAGTGTCTACCTTTGGCTCAGGTTGTGATCCCAGGGTCCTGGGATCAAGCCCTGAATCAGGCTCCCTGCTCAGTGGGGAACCTGCTTCTCCCTCTCCATCTGCTCTTTGCCTTCCTTGTGTTCTCATGCTTTGTCAAACAAATAAATAAATAAATAAATAAATAAATAAATAAATAAATAAATAAATTTAAAAAGGGAGTGGGGGCTTAGGGAAGAGACATGTAAACAGAAAGACATGATAAGTTGTATATTCTAGAAAATTTCACCCTAATGACAGAATGTGAAATAGATGCCAGGGTGGAGCCCGTGAGTGAGGGTGAGACAAAGCAGAAGTCAGGGAAGCCAGTGAAGAAACTGCAGCTCTCCAGGTGAGAGGGTATAATGGTGAGAACCGGGGACACATTCTAAGTTTCTATGTCCTCACTCATGCTCTGCTCCTGGTAAATATAGCCTGAGTGCACACGCCTGCCTGTGTGTACATGCATGTGTGTGTGCGTGCTTGTGTTTTGATGAGACTGTCGTAGGGAGTGAGTTATCTAGAAAAGAATTTTTAGAAGATGTGAATTGAAAGTTCATAAAGAGCTGTTTGGAAAATTCTAAAGCAAACTGGGAAGGAAAATGACTGTGAGAAAATATCTCAAATACTCAGACATGAGACAGCACAGGGAGGGCTCTACACTGAGAATCAGAAAGACCTTACTTTGTCCTGGCTCTGCATTTTCTATTGGCTTGACCTTTGTTGTGTCATTTAACCTCTCTGAACTCTGTTTATTTGTCAAACTCAAAATGAGGATGATGATGCTTGCCCAGCCTATTCTGAGTCAGTGTAAAGCTAACAGTGTGTGGTGGGAAATGACCGCAACAGGGAAGCTAACATCCTCTAGACCAACATGAATAGGACAGGGGTATGGAGGGTCATGGTTTAGCCCCAAGAGTCTTGTGTTCAGTGTAGACACTGGCCTGTCTACCCACTCCGGGGCAGGAACAGGGCATCCTTCGCAGTCCATGTGCTTCAGGGAGGTGGGTTCCAGAAGGGTTAGTGTGACACTAGATCCTCTTGAAGGCTTCTCCCCCTGTTTGGAAACTCAGTGATCCTCCTTCACAGGCCATTGTGAGAGTAAGAAGAGAAAATAAAATAGTAAAGCGCCTGGAGAATTAGCATTGTAGGCAAGTGAAAGGTATGACTGTTGATGTTGTCAGTAGGTCTTATGATGTTAGCTCAAAGAAGATGTACACATTTGACTCTCTTATATCTCCTAGCAAAACAAAGTCACTCCCAGTTTCCTGCATGGTATATGATATATTTTAGTTTCATAAAGAGACCAATGACCATGTTCCTTTCCCCTAATACCACCTTCTTACTAACTAGCTATGTTCTATTTTCCTTATTTTTTTTTTCTCTTGCATTTAACAATGACTGGAAACATGTGACCTGCCAAGACTTGAACTTGGCATGTGGGGTTTCTCCCACAGTCCATGATCGAGTCACCAGCAGGGAGAACACAGGCTGTATATTCCCTCCTTTCAGGGTGAGGAATGTTCTCCACCTCCTGGGAAAATCCAGGGTCCTGACTCAACAGGAGTCAAAAGGAAACTGACCTTAGAGTCCTTCTAAGATACTGTGACTTCTTGCTCATCAGTGTTGGGATCTGTTTTTCTTTTTCTTAAAAGCATTCCCTGGGGCGGCGCCGGGTGGCTTAGTGGTTTAGTGCTGCCTTCCACCCAGGGGGTGATCCTGGAGACCCAGGATCGAGTCCCATGTCGGGCTCCCTGCATGGAGCCTGCTTCTCCCTCTGCCTATGTCTCTGCCTCTCTTCTCTCTCTCTCTCTCTCTCTCTCTCTCTGTCTCTCATGAGTAAATAAATAAAAATCTAAATAAATAAATAAAATGTAAAAAAAATTTTTTTCAAAAAAAAAAAAAGCATTCCCTGGGGTTTTAGGGCACAATAGATGACTGACTCAGTATGGCTGACATTTATTACACCTTTACTCTGTGCCAGGTGGTATCGTAAAGCACTTTACATAGAAGATACACCACAGCCCTATGAGTAACTATTCACTTGGTAGATGATCAAAAACCAAGGCAGATGTGTTTAAGTAGCCTAAAGTCACACAGAGCTGGAATATGAACATAGGCATGTGATTCCAAAGCCCTGTCTGAATCATGCTGCGCTTCTCCCTCCCTGCAAGCAGAGACCTGTCATAAGAGCATACAGAGGGCCTCAGGATTTCCTATTCCTTGGTCCTTAGAGCAGTCAGAGATGTTAAATAGAAAAAAGTGCGTTTGAATTCTGGTCTACTTAAGTGTTCTCCACAGCAGGCAGGAAGTACCCTAGATATAAAAATGGATTCCATTAAGATAAATAGCTCGAATCTCGGGAGCCCTGTGCTAACCAGAAAAAAATGTGAATCGAAAGCTGACAGTTCTTATATGCTTCATGTTTCATTTTTTTCCACTTTCTCTAGGTTAAAAAGATCAAGTGGCATGAGCAGCCTTTTGGGGAAAATTGGAGCCAAGAAGCAGAAGATGAGCACCCTAGAGAAATCCAAATTGGACTGGGAGAGCTTCAAGGAGGAGGAGGGCATTGGTGAAGAACTAGCCATCCACAATCGAGGGAAGGAAGGGTAAGAAATAGTAGATTCTATTCCTCTGAAAATCCTAAACTCTGAAATAGTTTATTGTAGACAGGCCACCCAGGGTTTTTTTTCTTTTTTTCTTTTTTCTTTTTTTTAAGATTTTATTTGTTTATTTGACAGAGAGAGAGAGAGAGAGAGAGAGCCAGAGAACACAAGCAGGGTTAAGCAGCAGGCAGAGGGAGAGGTAGAGGGAGAAGCAGGCTCCCCACTGAGCAGGAAGACTGATAGGAGACTCCATCCCAGAACTCTGGGATCATGACCCGAGCCAAAGGCAGATGCTTAACCAACTGAGCCACCTAGGCCAAGGCCACCCAGTTTAAATAAGCAGGTACTTTTCATGGTGAAACAAAAAATGTGTGAGTACTTTGGTTTGTCGGTAAAGCTCTGTTCTGGGAAGCAGGTCCTCTCGGTGAGAACACTGGAGGTCACGGGGTTAGGTGGGGTGGTATGTGAGCAGCCCTGCTCTCAGGGCCAGTCACGTCTGCCAGGCTGAGCTTTCCGAATGATAGCTTCTGTGAACTGTAAGTCACCTTGCTTCATCACATGGTCAGATCTGGCTCTGTCAGCCTTAGCCTGATCTGAATGATTTGGCCTTCAGTGAAGCCAGCCCAGTGGCTTCAAGAACAGAGCCAAGAATGCCTAGATATTGTCATCTTGTGGATTTTTGTCTGTGTCACTATGACCCAATCTGAGGCTTCAACCTGTATGACATGCCAGCCCTCAGCACCCAGACTATCACTTGCACCCCTCCTCTTCAATTTGGAATACAAAGAGGACATCAATAGGCCCGTATTCAGGAATGCCAAGAAAGACAGTGTTTGGTGAGTACTTAGGAACCTCAGAAGGAGCTAAGAAGCAAAGTTGCTGTATATCAGGTCCATGGCTCAAGATCATCACTCTCTGCCCCTAATGGTGAATAGAAGTGTCTTGGGGCTTATCGGATAACTCTGGGTCCTCCCCGCCCCTGCCTCTCACCAGAAAGGGCTTTCCATGCTGCACACAGCATTTCTGAGGCTCAGCTCCTTTGCCTGTGAATTGGGATAATGGTACCACACTGGAGGTGAGTGTGAAGATCTCATAAAATAATGCATGTAACATATGTATAACATACATACATGTGTATAAAGTACATAAAGCCCTTTGCAGAGTGCCTGTCACATAAAAGCATAATTAAATGGTAGTCATTCAGGTTATTTATAAGCTAAGTTAAAATAAAGACAGGTGAGGGGGTTATTTTGGGGGTCATACTTCTAAATTCGGCTTCAAGATCATTTGAATGAACCTACAAGCTGTTCAGTATGTTTTAAATGACTTTATGAGCTTGGTTAACTATCAGGCTCCTAAATCACTCTGTCAAAGATAGAATGCCACAGGATAGAGGCTAAAGTGCCAATGTCTTCTGAGGAAGGCCCAGGATAAAGCACAGGCAGGAGTCAGTGTTATGCAGAGAAGGCCTCTGACATTTGCCCCAAACATCCCTGTCTCTGACTCTATTCTGGTTACTCACAGGTCATTCCTCTTCTCCACATTTGCCTAGTGATATAAGGCAGCAGAAGGCCTGCCAGTGTGCAACACTTTATTGGTCCTCTGAGTATTGATTATGTGGGTCGGACAGTGTTCCTTCTGCTCAAGTTAATCGAGGTCTTATAAAAGGAAGTGATGCTGTTGAAGATAAGACAGAGTTAATAAATGTAGACTGAAAGAGAAAACAAGATTAAAAGGACATCTATCTGCCCAATGAGGACTTTTCAGGTGATAGAAAATCACCTAACTAGGTTAGGGAACCACTAATAGTATGCAGCCTTTAGGTACTCTGCTTTCCCCTCCTTCTCTGAACCTCTTCGCCCCACCCAACGATTCCACCAATCTGATTGTGTTTCTCCAGTGTGGATCTGATGTCTTCTTTGCTCTGCCTTTGGCTCTTCTTACCTTCCCTCTCCAGTGCCTGCTCCCACCTCCACTCACATGCCTTTCCTAGCTCTTGCAGGCAGATTAAGGGGCCCAACCCCTTGTACAGGGAACAAGCTGTAGCTCTGCTTCTTACCTTGGCTAAGCCTGAGAATCATCTTGCAGGGGTGCTTTCAGAGTTGGGGTAACAAGGCCACTCCTGTACAGAGCTGCTGGATCAAGAGTCACAGATAGCTGTATCTTTAACTCACTCCTCAGGTGCTTTTGATGCATGCCAGGGTTAAGAATCACTAGACCATAGCATCACAATTCCAGAGATTAGAGCAAGACAACCAGCTTCTGGCTGAGCCTTTCCAACACATACATAACTAGAGAGCCAATTTCAGAACAGGAAATGTCAAGAAGGACAAGAAGATTTCTCCTGAGAAGTGTGCCCAGTGGCACACTATGGAAGGAAAGAAGCATAGGGACCAAACCTATAAGGTCTTTGGGTAGAGGGCAGGCAGGTCAGGCCCCTAAACTCTCTCACAGGGATGCCAGTGGCAGCAAAGTCATCACCTGGGAGGGGGATACTCTGCAGGAGTATGTGGAGAACCCCAAGAGTTGTACCCCTGGAATAAAAGTGACCTTTGCTGAAACCAAGTGGTTTCAGAGCTACCTACCTGTGAGTACTGATTGACCTCTGCCATATATTTTTATAAGACTATGGCCTTTTCATAAGCACCAAATTTAAATTGATCTCTTATATAAGAATTCAAGTCATAAGTGGTGGTAAAAATATTCCTATTATGCACACAGTCCTGATTAAGACTGTATTGAGATTAAAAGCTTAGGTCATGCTTTTTATGATTTGATAGTAACTCCAGTTCAATAAATGCTAACACATCTTTCCCCTTGTAAAGATTTGATAGAATTTGAAGCTAGATTGGTCAATATATGGTTATTATTGTCCAGTTATTTAAAAGGCAATTTTGCCATCTTAAAAAATGCATATGCACATAAGGAGACAAGGTACCTAGAAACCACTGGCACAGGACCAGATAATTTCTAAAATCTGTATCTGATACTTCCATTGTCTACATTCTTTGCAGAAAATTTACTAGAACTCTCATTAGACATCAATAAACTAAGCACTCCAGTGAAGGGCCAGAGATTGACCCTTCATTGAATTAGAAGACAAAAAATGACTATATACTGATTAAAAGAGACATATGGAAACAGCAGGATTTGGGATAAGTGAAAATAAAAAAGAGACAGGATAAACCATGCAGCCACGAACCAGAAGGAAGGTGTAGTAGTCATACTGATATTAAACAAAACAGACTTTGAGACAAAAGTGTTACCAGAAATAGAAGTGGTCGCCTCATAATGGTGGAAACACTCAATGCATCTGGGAGATATGACTGTTCACATCCAGATGTCCCCCTGACCTTAACTGGACAGCAGTCACTCCCTGCAATTCAGCAGTCCCGCCCCAGCTGTGTTCCCAGCAGAAATTCAGTTGCGTGTTCCCCAAAGACAGATGTGAGGATTTCAATGATAGTGCTTTTCATAATATGCCCAAACTGGAAACAACTCAAGTATCCATCAGTAATGCAGTAGGCAAAGTGTGAAGATCGAATTGGCTTTATGCCGTGGTTCCTGAATCAGGCATCCTCTCTACCAAGAAAAAGGAAACTCTAGAGGGCTACAGAAAGGGAATGGTTTTTAAAAGGAGGACAAGGAAGTCATATATAGAAAAAAGGATTATTTCAGGTGAGGTCACCTCCATTTGTGTACAAAGGGTTTCAGTAGGTTCAGTAGGATTGCATCATCTTTCTTTGGAGGATGAAGAAGGCCCATGTGACATATTGGTGCTGACCAGAAGATTCCTCACTGACCGGTTAAAGGTTACATTCCTAGAGGGTTGAAACCGCAGTGAAGTTAGTTATTAAGTCTGGGTTTAATAACCTGGGGCTTTAACCTAAATGACACCATTTTGGGCCTCGGGTTTTCTTTTTAACAGTTTACAGATTGGGTTACTCTTTAGCAACCAGAATGAACATGACTAAATTCCAATAATAGAGTAGCAAAGTTCATTGCAGTATGATCCCATTTATATAAAAGGTCAAAAACAGGCAAAAGCAGTGTGTCTATTGAGTCATTTTGTGAAAGAAGCAAGTCATGAAAGAATTCACAGTATAAGTTTATTTATATCAAGTTCAAAATTAGGCACAACTAGACCATAATGTCAAGGGCACAGAAACTTAAAAGGCAAGCTCACACCTGGCTGGACCGGCATTGGCCTAACAGTTATGCAGGGGCCTCCTCTGAGCAGCCAGCATTCCACTTCTTGATTTGGCAATGGCCACATGAGCACTTGCTTTATGACAGGTCATTTGTCTTGCCTGTTGTATACACTTTAATCTGTGTATGTTACATTTTACACAAAACTGAATTAAAACTGGGGCACCTGGGTGGTGCATTCGGTTGGATGTCTGACTCTTGGTTTCAGCTCAGATCATGATCTCAGGGTCATGAGATTGAACCTCTTGTTGGGCTCTTTGCTCAGTGGGGAGTCTGCTAGAGATTCTCTCCCTCTTTCTCTGCCTCTCCACACCCCCACTCACTCATGGGCATGTGTAGGTGCTCGCTCTCTCATAAATAAATCTTAAAAAAAATAAATAAATTGAAACTCTATTTGTCCTGGCTCTACTACCAACCTGCCATGTGCTCTAGTCCATATCTTCATCTATAAGGTAGAAACTCTTCAGTGTACTATACTTCTCAAGTTTATCGTGAGAAATAAGTAGGGGAGATGTCTGGTGCGCTTATAAATAAGGAGTCCTCTGCCCACTCTTCTTTCTCCCATCTGCCATTATTGACCTCACTGTAAGGGGCATTGCTGCAAATGGAAAGCTAGGTGCCTTACTCTTTTAAATTCCCTCCTGGTGTCTTCCTGCCAGCCCTTCCAGAATACTTTCTACAGAGGTGGCAGCTATAGTTTGGGGGCATCTCCTCCAATCTCCCTGGCTCATGTCTCTTCCTTCTCGGGGCTGAGCTCCGGGCAGCCATCCGTCCTCACATTCCCTGCAAACCCCACACTCCAGGAGAGCTCACTAGTTATGTGGCTGAGGTTCCCCACTATGATGACTCCCAGATAATTTCTCCTTGCCCGACCCACTGTTGGACTGAACTCCAGACTCCTTGAAAAACAGCTGTTGGGTTGACCTCTCCATTTGCATGTCCAAGACACACATCAAACCTAACATCCAAAACCAAACACTTGCCTCCTTTCCAAAAAGATTCCTTCCTCAGTCAGAAAATGAGACCATCACCATCCAACTTTTAAAAGAAAAACCTAGGAGTCATTCTTGATTTCCTCTTTGAATTCACATTCTGAAAGTCCAGGAGACAGTTCATTCATAAAGTACTTGAGTCCAGCCCCATAGCCACTGCTCCAGCACAAGCCACAGATCTGTTGTGCTCCCTCCTTCCCTTTGTCCCTTCCCTGCAGTCTCCCCCACAGTAACTAAAAGGATTTTTAAAATACAACTTTTCCTCTGTTCCCTACTGGAAGCCCCCCAGTGGTACTAATAGTCAATGCTCAGTTCCTTATCCTGGCATTCTAGGCTCTTCCTGAGCTGGCTCTTGCCTACCTCATGTCCCCTTTTCCCCTTCTCATGACAGCCTCTGTAGGGTTTCTCCCAGTGCTCCTTCATGATGGCTTTTGTCACTTGGAGTTCGACTCATGCCACTCTAGCCACACCCCAGGAACTGTCAGCCCTATCACTTTGTTGGAGCATGTCGTGTTCTGGTTGATATGCAGTGGACCTCCAATGGCAGGGCCAGGTTCACCCCCAAAAGAGGACCCAGCCCAGAGCAGGCGCTGAGCCATCTCACTGTCTACATGCCTGTCCCACTAGCCACTAGACAATCATGGCTTTGTTTTAGGACCTAGTAGGATTAGAATTAGCCCCCCAGAAAAGAAGGGCATGATATATCAGAATGATGTCTCTGTCCAGGCATCATTTCCAGGCAGCAGAGTTGCTTAAAATCCCAGTACCCAAGATGGTCCATCATCTCCACAGCAGAGTGGCTGCTCTTCCTTTGAGCCCCAGACTCCCTGGCTTGCTCTAGCCCTGTAGCTGATCATCCAGGCACCCTGGCAGTGTGTGGGGCCAGCTGAGGTAGAGAGATCAAGGGGACGGCTTGGCTGCCGCTGGCATCAAATTGAAGGTCAAGGAGCACAACAATTGGAAACCAGGTGTGTTGATGATATAGAAAGGCATGAAGGAGCCCAGGGAAAGTCATTCTGCCTCCATGACCACCCAGGAGTCACTCAGAACCAGCACAGCCTGATGAGATGGGAGGACAGCAGTGAAGAAGCTTCACTAAAATCAGCATTATTTTACTCTGGGCCTCAAGAGGCTTACAAGTCACATACTATTCCACGGGGATGAGGGGGATGCAGGCTTGTGCAACACTGGACAGGTTGCTTCTCTCAGGCAAAACACTGCCTGTCCTATTGCACCCATCACAGGGCTTTATCTTCAGACATCCTCCACTGCCTGCTGTTTCCCAGAGCTGGGAACCAAGCTGACCCATGCTGCCTATCACATTTGTGCAGCGCTATATGTTTGCTCAGGGAACTGAATGCTGGCTCTCTCGGAAAAGTCATAACACAGCTGGCAGTGCCCTCAGTTGGGTACCTGCCTCACATGTCCTTGCACCTCCATGTGCTCCTCCTTTCCCTAACCAGTGGGGAGGAGGCCTGGATCTCAAACACTTGGTATCAGAAAAGTAATTTGGGTTGAAATATCAAAAAGATACCAGAGCCTGTTTTATCTAACCTGGTTCTGAAAGGAAAAGCTATAAAATAAAATCCCTTAGGTTTTGATGCTATTAGCATGTTTTATTAATGAAAGTAAAGAGCAGCTTCCTCTTAAATGGGCCACCTAGAGCAGTAGTAGCAAGAAGGTATGATGCTCTCACCCTACCTATGCCCCCCGCCTTGGCTTCCCAGTGGACTGGGCCCAATCAGGCTGGGCACAGACCAGAAAAACACTATTTCACTTGTCTGCTGGTGGCTGTGTTCTGGGATTCTAAACAGCTTACTGCGCCTGAAAACTTCCTGAAGTTCAGTTTAAATAGGCCATCTACCTGGGACCCCATGGAGGAGGCAGTGTTCCCCAGAAACCCTTGCTCTTCTGGAGCATTTGGTCTCTTGGCCCCTGTTCCAGCTGTCCCAGGTTCTGAGGCTTTGTAGTGGTACAGTCACCCCTCAATGCTCAGTTGTTCTTTGTTTTATTGTTTACAAAGCACTTCTCAAAGGCTCACTGCATTGTCAGAGGGGCGTTAAAATCTTTATTCCTGTTTTACAGTGAAGAAAAATAAGGCAGAGAAATTAAATATCTTGCCCAAAGTCAAATAGTAAATATCAGACCCGCTCTCATCCTCAGCACCTTTCCTGTCTCTCGGGGAGAGGAGTGGTCCATATCCAATAGAAGTTTTGTTCCTGGCCAGCTCTTGGCTGGATCCTGTTAGCAGCTGCAGATGGCTGTAAATGGGGAAATGAAGTCGCCAGGCCTGCCTTGATGGCCTTTGTCTGGGTTGCCCTTGAGAATTCAGTTGCGTTCTGCACCTGTGCCCCTCTTGGCTGCCTGAACCCTTCCCTAAACCTGAGCTCTGCCTGCACCTGCCTGTAAAGCGCCCAGCCTGCCTTTACTCTTGAGAGTCTCAAAGTCAGCTGGACCCAGCACAGCTTCAAGGAACCTGCAAGGCCATCAGTCATGCTCAGTGAGCATCCTAATTTAAGTATCACTTCCTCTTTAAAGGAAAATTGAGAAGACCACAAATGCTCAAGCCCACACACTTCCTCTTCCTTCTCTGACAGATAGCACTGGGTAACGGCTCTCTGGAGATATGCCCTAAATTCCCCTGTAGCCAGGGTGTGCACCCTTTTTTTTTCCTGCTGAACTTCAGGGGATAGTTAGGGCTGTCAAAATACTGATTCCCATCTCCATCTTCACCCAGGGCTGCTCAGCTAAGCTGGGGAGGGACGGGGGTGGGGGGAATGATGGTTGAGCCATGGCAGAGTCCTTTGGTCAATTTTGGTTAGCATCCCCTCTGGAGAATTGAGGGCCCCTTGGTGATCGGTGGAAGGCCAGCTTGTCCTGTCACGTGTCCACTTAACCCACGATAGTCCACCTTGTCTTCTTCTTTATCAAAAGGGGGTCCACAGTGTCTGTGGCTTTCCTGTCTGCCAAGGAATCTGAAATCCAGATACAGCCGTATCTGACCATAACACACATAGCCAGGCATCCTGTGTTTCACTCACTAAATCTGATGGCCTGATCTGGAGGGGTTATGTCAAAGCGAGGAGCAGGCCCTACTGTTATTTCCAACCATTCTGGCCTCTGTTTGGTGGTGTAGAGTCAACAGCATAGTTCCTGATCCCTGACCTAGTTGCTGATAATACCCATCAAGAGACCTGACTGCTCCCCTTTTGGATCTGTTGTCCTTCGGGACCCTGGCAGAAGCTGGCCTCCCAAAAATGTTGGTGGCATTAGCTGCCATTTTCTTGAGCACCTGCTCTGCTAAAGCATTTTATGAACACTCTTTCAGTCCACAAAGCAGCCCAAAATTCATTTTTCTTTCTTGTTAGATTAGGAAACAAGATTGACAAAATTAGGTGGTTTACCAGAGTCACACAGCTAGCAAGTGACAGTCAGGGTTTGAACTCAGAGCCACCTGGGCCTCTGCAGGAAGGCATGGGAATGGGCTGCAGCAGGGTGCCACAGCAGGGCATGCAGTGCCCCAGCTCTGCAAGGGAACACAGACTCCTGAACCTGGTAACGTTCTTGTCCTAAACATAATGACTTTGTGATGACAGATGCACATTTTACACAGTGCAACAAAAGAAAAATTAGTACAGAGATTCAATTATGTCTCCTATTTTCAATGATAGTTTTGCTCTCTCGGTAGATTAATTAGCAGCAGAGATCCCCTCCCCCAGGCGAGACACGACCCACTTTATGGCGTGAAGGTGCATTAAAATTCAGCTGTGTCTCATTAAGCCGCCAGCCACTCCTCCTTCCCTGCCCACTTCTGCCCTGCGCTACCTTCCCATCCCGCCCTGCCCAATGAGGACCTGGGGGAGCCAAGTCTGTGAAACTTGACCCCTGTTAGGGCACAGAGCCCCGACCTTGTGAGGGGCCCTGGATGTGGACTATGGGTGGCTGCTCTTGCTCTCATTCCCTTAGAGAGACCTCAGGGAGGCATTTTGGACCAGAGTGGGCAGAGGACACCCGAGAAGGGCAGGGGAAGGAAGAGAAGGGCACTGAAGACAGTGGAACCCCTTGAAAGGGAGTGCTCTATGTGCCCACTTGAAGCTTCCCTGCAGCCCCAGGAAGTAGTTTCTACAAAGACTCTGTTTCTTCCATTTTCAGATGCACCTTTTTCCCACAGTTGAATGTATAGTACATATGCAGGACGCATAGCTTTCCCTGGCCCCCCAACTCCACACACTACTAAGACCAGGAAATATGGCATCGCTATTTTGCTGTTGAGAAAAATGAGGCTCGGAAATGTTCAGTCCTTGGCCAGTGCAGCCTAGCTAATGTGAAACAGAGCTAGCTACCCACTGAACCCATGCCTGACTAAGCCTATGTGCTTCTGTCCCTAAAACCTTGTTACAGAACAGCAGTGTTTGAACCCAGGATAGGTTGTTGCTTTCTCCTTTTCATTTTACTTTCAATGACATCTGAACCAGAAGCATCGTTGTTTAGACCAAATACGAGTGGTTTGGATATTACTGAGTGAGTCGTGGGTGGTCACTGTGGTCAGCAGCTGTGGTCATCTACTTGTATTCGCTGTAAGCCAGTGATCCTGCCGGTCGAGTGGACAGTTCACACCTCCGTGGGTGGGGGGCGCTGTGCTCCTACAGGAGTCTGCTGACAAACCTTTTGTATTTTCTTCTAGGTACATTGAAAGGAAGGCTTTTCTAGACCGAGTGGACCACAGGCAGTTTGAAATCGAGCGAGACCTCAGGCTGAGCAAAATGAAACCCTGATGTTATGGGGAGGAAATCAACAGCAGCTTAATCTTGTTTACAATGTGAGCTTCTGGTGCATCTGTGAAATGTCTCCAGTGTTTCTCATCAGCTGTTCCCACCAAGCCCTCTTTTTCTACGTTGGATTTCTGTCTTTGTATCTTTATCTCACGTGTTTCATTCATTTTACTTTTAAAAGTTTGTCCTTAAAAATAAAAGTTGGTCCTGCGAGATGAGAGGCTGGTGAAGATAAGGACACCACTGGCCTTCCCTTTATTCTCCAAAGGCCACCAGCCAGGCCTGCCTGGGCTGGCCCTGGGGAGGAGAGCTGAGCAGCCGGAGGGTGCGTTTCTGGGCCCTTTCTGAAGTTGGCCTTGCCCCAGAGACCCAGGGAGGACTGCTCACTAATGTGGGTAGAATGCCAAGTCCTTGGCAGTTTTGTTCTTGTTCTGCTGCTGCTTCTCTCCTAATCTCTTCCTCTCTCCTAAATGGGATTCTTATTCACTGGTGTAAGGTCAGGCTGAAAATAAGCACGCATTATTGCTGAATTAGGGATGTTTTTCCCCCTTTGGCCTTTTTCCTCTTCCCAGACAGAGTTCAAGTCAGTTTAAGATGTGCTCCCACCTCAGTAATTCTTTTTGTTTGTCAAAGACTCTGAAAGACTCTCTTTTTTATACTCAGTAGGAAAATTTAAATTCCAAACTTCATAGTAATAAAGCAGTAAAACCCCACAATTTGCTTTTGGGGTGTGTGTGTGTCTGGGTGTCCTGAGCAATATGGACAGGTTAAGGGGAAGGTAGAGTTCCAAAGACTGGAAGCCAGTGCCTGTCTGGACATGTAGCCAGTGTGACCTTGACCACAGCTTGGCTTTCTGAGCCTTTGTTTCCTGGTGTGTAAATGGTACAAGTAACACCAGTACCTTATATGGTTGAGACAAGCTAATGATGTACCTGGAGTCCCCCATCCAGTCCTCGAATTCAGGGAAGAAGATCATGGCAACCAAGGCCTGATCCTCGATACTACATGGTTATGGGGTCATGGACCTGATTACTCAGAAAGGTAGTTTACTGGCTATGTTTGAACACATTGTCTATTCACATCCACTCTGATAAAGGATTTTAAAAGTGATAATAGAAGCCCTTTGAGGGCTTACAGATGGCCTGTAAGGCCTCAGTACAGTCCTGCACAGCGATACAGGAGTAACAGGAAAGTCCTCTAAGGTAAGACAAGACAGCGTTCCACTTAGGGCAAGTGCATCCAGACCCTCAGGAGCCACAGCTGAGACTGAGATGATGCCAGTCCTGCCGCATGTCAGCCTCTAGGCATCACCCTCTGTTTACCACCTCTTCCCTTCTGAGTCCTGAGGGCCTCTAGCGCTGGCTCTCTCACACAGTTCTTCATATTACGGCAGCCATATATGAGCCGGCTCCTTGTCTGGTTTGAGAAACGATCTGGAATCCCACAGAATAAGTGGTGCTGAGCCCATCAAAAGTTAGGGGTTTTCTTCTTTAGCAAATCTTCATGCCTTTGAAGCCTACAAGATCAGGACAGCAGCTGCAAGAGCATGCTGGGTTCTTCGCACAGGTGGGTTTGCTCCAAGGTATGTGGAGAGAAGTTGGAAAAATCAATGAGCACTGCAGCGTGTGCATTTGCACTTCAGTTTCTGTTCCCAGCCCTCAACACGGGCTTCTCTCCTGTGCCCTGCATTGGATTAAATTTACAGCTGTGCAAAGGTTAGTTCCTTTCTGCTGCTCTTGAGTTAGTGGATCTTTTCCCAGCAGGTTCACTGTACACATCTGATCTCCACTCAGTGACTTTTTACACATCCATGCATCTCTTACAGAAAGCCCTTCAGGAAGCAGCCTATTGGCCAGTCTGCCAAAACTAGGACTGGGCCCCTGTCCTGAGTGGTCGCCCAGCCACCAGACTTCAGAAAGCGCTAGGCTCATCAGAGTCTCTCCCTCTCCTCCCCTATAGACTAGGCAGGCTGCTGCAAGCAGAAGCAGTTGGGTTCTTTTATATCAAAAGAGCAAAACACCAAAAAGGAAGTTGAGAGTACCCCACTCTTTACTATCCAAGCCACGTGCAAGCTATCCTGACACCCTCACCGTGTGCCTTGCACCAAGTGGAACATAAACTCCATGCAGCCAGTAAAATAAAAAGCCCTTCAAGTCTAGCCCCTTTTGGCAGAATCTGGCAGCTTGTCAAGGAATGTGTAGCTATTTACACCATTCCTGTTACAGAAGAAGCCCTTCCTCCCAACTTTGTGCACCCTTACTTCAGTGTTCCCAGACTTTCACAGTTCAAATAATTTCATTTGCCTTTCAGCTGCCTCCATAGAACCTCTTTAAAAGCCACCTGCATTGGGGCGTTTGGCTGACTCAGTTAGTACATGTGACTCTTGATCTCAGGTTCTAAGTTCGAGCTCCAGGTTGAATGTAGAGATTACTTTAAAATATTTAAGGGGCGTCTGGGTGGCTCAGTCAGTTGAGTGCCTTCTGCCTGGGTCATGATCCCGGGGTCCTGGGATTGAGCCCCACATCAGGCTCCCTGCTCAGCGGGCAGCCTGCTTTTTCCTTCTCTTTGTCCCTGTATGTTCTCTCTCTCTCTCTCTCTCTCTCTCTCTCTCTCTCTCTCTCTCTCAAAATAATAAAATCTTTAAAAAATACATTTTTAAGTGACATATTAAACTAAGTTCATCATATTGATGAAGCCACTTCCTCTGGCTAATACCTATGCACGTGTGTATCTATGTGCACACATGTATCATCCTACAGTGAGACTTAAAAGAAGCTTCAAAGCTGGCTCTTAGATACATCTCATTGGCCTTTGCTGGATCATCTGCCTGCCCCCAGCTGGAGGGGAGGCTGAAAAAACTTGCCATGGGAGATGGGGAGGGGAATTAGGAATAGGTGATAGGGGGACGCCTGGGTGGCTCAGTGGTTGAGCGTCAGCCTTTGGCTCAAGGTGTGATCCTGGAGTCTGAGGATCGAGTCCTGCATGGGCTCCTTGTGGGGAGCCTGCTTCTCCCTCTGCCTATGTCTCTGCCTTTCTCTCTGTGTCTCTCATGAATAAATAAAATCTTAAAAAAAAAAAGTGGGTAATAGGTCAGCCAAACAGTGGTACCTGAACACTCAATTCTTTGTCATAAATCAACAGACTTGTCTCCATTTGGTCCTTTAAATTGTCACCAAGGAGTGGGAGGAGAGATGGGCCGGCAGCAGGGGCCAAACCGCTGCGCCACCCAGGGATCCCTGGGCCACGTATTGATAATTGTTGAATCTAAGTGAGGAATCCAGCAAGTCCTTCACACTGTTATCTCTACTTCTATTTGGATTTGTTATCGTTCGTGAATTGTTCTTTTTTGTGCCAGAGAGACAGAATGGAGCTGTTTAAAGGAAAGGACTAAGAAGTGCGTCAGCTGTTCTAGGACAGAACGGGCAGCCTCCCAGAGACCCACTCCCACTCTGCAGGTCTGACAGTGGCCAGGAATGTAGTGGCAGGGAACCTCTGGTCTATGAGGAGGTGCTCCCCGCCTCCCCAGATCCTGTGCTTGTTGTAACAACTTGGAACCCAGTCTTTGCAAGTTGCGTTTTGTCTCATCTTGTGGACCTCCTCACCCCCTGTGTTCTCTTACTGTTGTGGCTCAGTTCCCAGGGACAGGAACCAGCCAGCAAGACTGGTGCCGGGGCAGGCACATGAATGACTGCTAAGTGTAAACCAGGCCACAGGATACGGGAGTCTTCCCAGCCCTGCCTGATGGTGAACAGGGTGCTGGGTGCTGTGGCTGCTGGGCGGGGTGGGCCTCGGGTCTCCTGAGACCACCCTTGGGCCTTCCTGGGTAGTGGGCTGTGTTCCTGCCTGACCCTGTCTGTCAGGGCTGGGAGGACCTTCCTTCCCAGCCAGTGTTGCCACCTGTCCCCCCTCTACCTACCTCACTCTCAATGACCTGAGAGCTGCCTCAGTGAATGCCCGGCCTTTCCTGGTGGGCCCACTGAGACCAGGCTGGGTGGTGGGGCTGGCAGAGGTGTGACCATGTTTAGCCGAGAGCCCCCTTTTCCATTGGTCCTGTTTGAACCATGGCAGACACCATCTAGCCCAGTTTTTAAGAACAAGTGGATAGTATTTTAACTGGCTCTTCACATCTACATTTAGTGAAAACTATTGTTCCCAACTCCTAAGGGAAATGATTTGTTGTTGTTTTGTTGTTGTTGTTGTTGTTGTTGTAGATTTCCCTTTATCTGGAGTCGGGAGTCGGCAAGTGGAGTGGCTGAGTCAGTGCTGAGAGGCAATTGGGCTGGGGCACCATGCACCTCGCCTCCAGGCCCTTGGGCCAGGTCTGTTGTGTGAATGATGGGTACGGCCCAAGCGCAAAGTGCAGAGAGTCCCCAAAAGTTGTTTCCTGCCCCTGATCCGTGCCATGAGTCTTTGTCTTCTCCTTGTCCCACATGGGTGTGTCAGATTTCCAGGGCATCGAATGTCTTCTCATTGCTGAAAGAACTGCCCCCAAACAGTGTAAGGTCAAAGAATAATGAGCTTCCTTCTGCGATTCTGCTCACCCATTTGCTGAGGAACTCGGTGCTCTAATTAGGAGCTCAGCGATGGTCTCCGGGGAAGAAGGGAGGGTGGTGAGAAGAACTCGAGGGAGCCGTAGCCGCGGGAGCTGCGGGGAGGCCCTGGGATGGGAGCCCTGGCAGGCAAGTGGTGCAGTGGTCCCACTTCCTCGTGTGCCATCTGTCAGATGCCCCTCATGTTTCAGCTGAGGAAACTTGCCTGAGGTCAGACTGTGAAACCACCAGTGATCACACCTCCGCCTTGTGCCTGGAGGGGCGGGTGGGGGCGGGGAAGGCAAAACTAGACCGCCTTTCCCCCTCTGGATCCCAGCGCAGTGCTGAGTGCAGGGGGACGGGTGAACGCGAGATGAGGAGATGCTTGCTGTTGGAGAATGACAGCTGGCACTCGCAGGGCCCAGAGCTTGTGGCAGAAGTCCACCCCAGCTGTGGGCACACCCCTTCCGCTTCCAGTCCTGCCACTGCTCCGGGGCAGCGGCCGAACCACTCTGCAATGGCAGGAGCGCCTCACCCAGGCCCCCGGGCCTTGTTCACACAGGTCTCTGGTGAAGCGTCACTGAGGCATAAGCCGTGCTCTAGAACCAGGTTTCTGTGCTAAGCAAGGTACACGGTGTTGCCCTCCTTTGGGACGCCGCCGGTTTCAGGGAGTGCGGGGAGGAG